CAGGCTCCCTTTCTCTCCCTCACCCACCCATTCCACTCTAGTTTTAAAAATTAGCCATACCTTTAATACCTTAGAAATTAAAAGAATTTAAAAGCCATGATATATAGAATTTGATAAAATCTTTAAACACCACTAGAATGCAAGCGTCATTGAGAACAAAACTTTCACTCTCTAATCTACTGCCATATTCCTGCAACTGAGCACAGCGCTTAGCACATCATCATAATTATAGCTAACAGATACAGAACGTTCCCTACGTGCCAGGGCTTCATGACAATATCTAAGGAACAGGTATTATAATTACTAGGCTACATGCTGTTGAAATCAGCAATTCTACTTGTAAGGACTTAATTCTATAGAAATAACTGTGAACATGCACCAGTATTTAACAACAGTAATATATGTGCTATCACAGTTCTAAGCACTTGACTTACTAATCCTCTTAACAAGCCAGCAACCCTGGAACTATTATTAGCTTCATTTTATGGTTGACAAAAGTGAGGTCAGGGACATTAATTAACTTGTACAGGGTCACAGAACTGGACTCCTGGAGCCAAAATTTGAAACCAGGCTGCCTGCCTTCAGGGTCTATGCTTGTGACCACTATGCTGTATTGCTCCCAACATAATTACTGCAGGTGCTATTTACATGAGGGATTGGAATACCTAGACATCTAACAACAAGGAACTGTTTTTCAAAAATTAACCAAAAATATATAAAATCATTCATCCACTTAAAATAACATTGTAGAACAGTGAGTAACATAGAAAAACTTGTTCAATATAGGGGTGCCTTGCTGGCTCAGTTGGTAGCACATGCGACTCTTGATCACAGGGTTTTGAGTTGGAGCCCCAGGTAAGGCACAGAATTTACTTAAAATAAAAAAAGAAATTTAAGGGGAAAAAACTTGTTCAATACAGTGTTAAGAGAAAAAATCTGGTTGAGACATGTTTTAAAGAAAAATATTCTCCCAAGTGTTAACAATGGTAACCACTGGATATTAAAATTATAGATGACTTTTTGCTCATCCGTACTTTCTAAGTGTTCTATAATATATTCCTTTTCCAAAAAAAAAAGAAAAAGAAAAAGAAAAGGGAAATCTGTCTAAACCCGTACTAGAGATTTCCTGGCAAAACAAATACAGATTGTGCTCCATTTGAAAAAAAAAAAAAATGAAAAAAGGAAGAACAAGATGGCAATGGTTAATTTTATGTGAAAATTAACTGGGCTAAGGAATGACCAAATCACTGGGAAAACACTACTTCTGTGGATTTTGTGATTTTTAAAAATGGTATCTAATGCTTTCATGTATAAATTGGGATTTTCCTGTTTTCTTCTAGGAGAGGTAGGATTTTAGGTCTTACATTTAAGTCTTTAATCCACTTCAAGTTAACTTCTGTGAGTGGGGTAAGAAAGAAGTCCAATTATATTATTTTTCATGTGTCTGTCCAGTTTTCCTAATAGCAGCGATTGAAGAGACTACCTTTCTCCATTAAGTATTTTAGCTTCTTTGTCAAATATTAGTTGACATATATGTGTTGGTTAATTTCTGGGCTCTCAATTCTGTTCCTCATCAGTGTTTGTACCATACTGTTTTGATTGCTACACTTTGTGATATAGTTTGAAATCAGAAAATGTGGTATCTCCAACTTTGCTCTGCCTTTACCATACCGCTTTGGCTATTCAGGGTCCTTTCTGGTTCCATACAATTTTAGAACTTTTTTCTATTTCTGCAAAAAAAATGGCATTCAAATTTTGATAGAGGTTGCACTGAATCTATACATGACTTTGGGTATTATGGACATTTTAACAATATTAATTCTTCTAATCCATAAAACTGGGATATTGTCCATTTATTTTTGTCTTCTTCAATCTCTTTCAACAATGTATAATAGTGGGCGCCTGGGTGGCTCAGTCGTTAAGCGTCTGCCGTCAGCTCAGGTCATGATCCCAGAGTCCTGGGATCGAGTCCCACATTGGGCTCCCCGCTCAGTGGGAAGCCTGCTTCTCCCTCTCCCACTCCCCCTGCTTGTGTTCCCTCTCTCACTGTGTCTCTATCTGTCAAACAAACAAATAAATTATTTAAAAAAAAAAAAAACAATGTATAATAGTTTTCAGTGTACACATCACTCACCTCCTCGGTTAAATTCCTAAATATGTTGTTTTTGATGCTACTGTCAATGGAATTGTTTTCTTTCTTTTCAGATAGCTCATTGTTCGTGTATAGAAATGCAAGTGATTTTTATATGTTGATTTTGTATCCTGCAACTTTACCAAATTTGTTTCTCAGTTCTAAGAGTTTTTTGGTGGCATCTTTAGGGTTTTTTATAAATAGGATCATGTTATCTGCAAACAGAGACAATCTGACTTCTTCCTCTCTGATATGAATGCCTTTTATTTCTTTTTCTTGACTAACTGCTCTGTGTAGGGCTTCCAGTCCTTTGTTCAATAGGAATGGTGAGAGTAAGCACTCTTGTCTTGTTCCTGACCTCAGAAGAAAAGTTTTCAACCTTTTACCATCGAGTATGAAGGCAGCTGTAGCTTTGTCATATATGGCCTTTATTATGGTAAGGTATGTTCCTTCTATATCCAATTTTTTGGGAGTTTTCATCATAAAAGGATACTGAATTTTGTCCAACACTTTCTGCATCTACTGAGAGGATCATATGATTTTTTATCCTTCACTCTATTAATGTGATGTATCACATTTATTGATTTGCATATGTTGAACGAACCATCCTTATACCACAGAGATATATCCTACTTGACCATGGTAGATGATCCTTTTAACGTACTGTTGAATTCAGTTTCCTAGTATTTTGTTGAGAATTTTTACATGAATATCCATCAGGAATACTGGCTTGTAATTTCCTGATCTGGTAGTGTCCTTATCTGGCTTTGGTATCAGGGTAATGCTGGCCTTGTTAAAATGAGTTTGAGAGTGTTCCCTCCTCTTCAGTTTTTTGGAAGAATTGAGAAGGACTGGCATTAATTCTTCTTTAAATATTTGGTAGAATTCACCAGTGAAACCACCTGGTCATGGGCTTTTTTTTACTGGGAGATTTTTGATTACTGATTTAATCTCCTTAATCATTATTGGTCTGTTCAGATTTTCTATTTCTTAACGATTCAGTCTTGGTAGGCTGTACATTCCAAGGATATTATCCATTTCCTCTAGATTATCCAATTTGTTGGCATACAATTGTTCATAGAGGCCTCTTATGATCACTTGTATTTCCATGGTAACAGCTGTAATATCCTCCTTCATTCTAATTTTGAGTCTTTGCTCTGTTTTCCTTGGTTAGTCCAGCTAAAGTTATATTTATCTTTTCAAAAAACCAATTATTACTTTCATTGATTTTTTTTCTATTGTCTCTCCAGTCTCATTTCATTCATCTCTGCTCTAATCTTCAATATTTCCTTCCTTCTGATAACTTTGGGCTCAGTTTGTTCTTCTTTTTCTAGTTCCTTGAAATGTAAATTTAGATTGTTTGTATGGAGACCTGGAATCTTACATCAGACAAACGACACAAACCATACCGAAGGGAACTAAATGAGGAAGGTCACTGGTCTCCATGGAACAAAACACAAAGTCTTCAGTGACCAGAGAATTGTGCCCATAAGCATGAACATCAGCACTGCCCACTGCCTCAGACAACTGCAGGTAGAGCTTCCAGGAAATCTGGCAGGAGGCCTAATAAAAACCAAGCAGTAGTGCATCAGACAAATTTAATTTAACTTGTTTTTAATGCCAAAGACTGGGTCCTGCAGAAAGGGGAAATGAGTAAACAAATACAGAACCAAATAGAATTTTTGTTAAAAAGTAGTTCAACCCCCTACTCAACAAACACATCTTTAGCTATATGACCTTTTACTTATGCCATTTTCTCTGCCTAGAAGACTTCCCTCTAATCCCACCACTTGTCATTTAACTCTCATTTATCTTTCAAGATTTAGCTCAAACATCATCCCCTTTAGAGAATGTTCTCCAAAGCTGCAGTATGACATACTTGCTTTCATAGCAGCCTTTCAGGAACAAATAATTATTGCACATCTGTCACCTGACAAGCACCTGATGCATTTCTCATTCATAACAACTATTCCGTACTACAAGAAAATTATTTTCATTGAACTATTTACATTTGTCACTCATATCCATCCCAGAGCCTCATCAGTGCCTCTAGGCATCCTTAGTTAATGCCTTGAGGCTCCCATGAAGTACCAGGTGCTAGATATCAGAATGATTCAGAAGTTGCCCCTGCCCTCAGGGAGCTCATAAATAACAGAGAAAAGAGGGAGATTAACAATTATAGCTCACAATAGGGTGAAGTATGCGGTAAATAATGCCGTGGGCAAAGGAGGCTTCTGGGTTCTCCGGTAAGGAGGAGATTGGGTGTACAGCCTTTGTACAGAAAAACATGTTCAGTGTCCTGAACCTGCCTTGCCACAAGCTCACCGAATGTACTTATCGGCCTTATAAATAGCCTGCACATCCCTCAACATTAGCTCACAGAGGATGAGCCCATTTGCATTTCATTTCTTTCTTTGGAGAGTTAAATCGCATTGAAGAAGCTAGGTATTCTTCCACTTACGCAGCTGTCGTAATAAGCTAAGTTCAGGCAAAGGAATGAGAAGAAGCCAAAAAAAAATGTGTAGCATCCACAGTCTTTAATCTGCAACCATATAACGGTGTTGCAATCATCCTATTATTGGTTTGGTTGGAAACCAAGTGTATGAGCAGAGCTGCTACAACCATAAAAAAAAATTATTCCCCTGTGATTGAGGAGTAAAATGAAAGGTGTTAAATAAATACAAAGAAAAGGGAGCACTTTCTGAAAGCCATTTCTCTCTAGCCTGGAGGGGAAGCCAAGTGACTGAGAGCAGGTGGGGAAGAGTGAGAATTCACAAGGTGGTGGTGTTCGGACTTCGGCTCTCAGTCCCTGATGACGCTCACCCAACAAGTTCTTCCCAGAAGGGCACAGGCAAAAGAGGAAAAGTACCTCCGCAGTTCATTCATAACCTTGAATGCCTTCCCCATATGGGCAGAGTTGACAGTGGTCGTCCTCTGGTTCTTCTCATCATCTCCGGCCTGAACTGGGGGCTGGGAGCTCGTCTTGACGCTGTGAACAGGAAGGGAGTAGGAGGGTGAAAAGAGGATCACATGTTGACAAACCCATTCACCCCGCTGCCACAATGCAGCGTATATAACTGCCCATCCACCAGAAGCATCTTTGTCAGCTTGTTTTCTTCATCACAGACCCGGCAGGGAAAGAAATGCGCTGGGTCAGCCATTTCTGCAGGATCTTCCAATGCAACGTACATTCCTCTGGTGGAAGCCAGGTCCTCAGTCAGCTTCTACCAGCATTTGTGTGACTTTGTGGGAAGTCCTTATCCTCCACCCACCATGCCCTCAAGGGGTGAGGATGTGGGAGGAGATTAAGTGCTATTCCACTCACTTCACAGGGAAATTTGTTCATCCAACAAACATTTAATGGAGCCTACCCTGTGCCAGGCACTGTATTTAAAGTTAAGGGAAACACAACAACAAACAAGGTCTAGACAGCTGCTTTCACAAAGCTTAGAGCTCCGCATAGGAGGAAGCCAAGTAAACACCGAAACACCCTATCATTTTTATGTTCATTTTTTTATTTAAATTCAGTTAATTAACATATCATGTATTATTTGTTTCAGCGGTACAGGTCTGTGATTCATCCATCTTATACAACCTAAACATCCTATCTTACGTATGATGATTGGGCAGGAGGTAGAGAAGCACAGAGGATGGGCAACGACTGCAGTGCTAGCAGGATGAGGGGAAACTTCCCAGAAGCTGAGGGACAGCAGAAATCTCAAGGAAGAGCAAAAAAGGGCAGATAAAAGGAAGATGGAGAGCATCTTGGCAGAGGAAAGAGGAGATACAGAGACCTAAAGGAAAAGAGTCAAGGGAGTTCAGTAGAACCAGGAGTCTCAAAAGCAAAGGCTAGATTTGCAACGACATGGATGAACTAAGTGAAAT